TTCTCAGACTGTGTCCCTCTGACTGGCAACATTAAAATCTCCAAGGACCCTGTTAGAGTATAGATTCTGGAGTTTCCTCTGCAAGCTGGAGACAGTGGAATTCATTGTTAAATTTTCCATCCATCGTGCTGAATGCACAATTTGATAGCAATTGTTCTCGAGATAACAAATAACTCCTTGTTACTAATGAAATGCTGGCGATCACTAACTTTTCAAAGCCTTTGTAAGTTAACCACTTTGGTCTCTCTACACAGTAATTGATTACTTGCAATGAATCATGGGATTGGGAAGGATGCAGATAGGAAGCTGGAATCCAGTGCAGGGTTCAGGTGAATGGATTTTCTCTGATACCCAGAGGAATCTGAGGTGTTTTATCTTGAGGATTGATGTCCAGGTCACGACTATAAAAACTCAGGTCCTGATATAAACATCCTTACCTCTGGTCTGCAGTCTTGGCTTCTATAAAATTACTTGACATCATGTATAAATCTCTTTCAGATATTTAAGTAAGGCTGGAGAGATGGCAAGGTTATAAAGAGCACTGGCTGCTCTTCCAGGAGACCCAGGTTCAATTCCCAGCACCCACATAGCAGTTCAGAAACTGCCTGTAACTCCAGCTCCAGGAGATCCAGCGCCCTCTTCTGGCTTCTGAATGTACTGGTCATTCATGTGGTGCATAGACATACAAGTTGGCAAAACACCCATATGCATAAAATAAAATTTAAAAAACATATAGCTCTTTAAATATTTAAGTAAAATATTTGTAATAAAGTGTAGTCAATAAGGTACAAAATTACAAAAAACAAGTTTATTTCTATTTGAGCTCCTTCTCAGGACATCAAGTGTACCGAAGGCACAATGGGTTCCAGAGACAAATTAGCAGGCGATTCTAACCACACTCAGAGAACCACTGCTGACTCCTCAGAAACACTTGCAAGAAGTGGAAGAGGGGAGATGCGCATCCCACAGGGGCAGCATTGCCCCAACACCCAAACGAGGCAGAGACAGAAGCTCCAGGGCAGGTGGGAGTTCAGGCTGGGGGTAGCCTGCCAGCTCTCTGCCTCTGCGGGGAGCTATCAAGGGAGGTGCAGACAGGGAGGCAGTTAGGCCCTGGCCAGGACAGTGGTCGTGACAGCTGCATACAGCCTCTCTGACCTGCACAGATGTGTCACTTATGGACAGGTGAGACCTCCTCCTGTGTCAGTAGACTGCCTTCATGCTGTCTCCACCGTGTCCCCAGCCCCTCTTCTCCTCTGGTTTCCCTGACTAGCTCCTTCTACGTAACTCCCATGCCAACATACAGCTTTGTTTACAAGCTTGGACTCAGACCTTCAACGAGATATTTGGCCGTGACTACTGCAGTTTATATTAATGTTTTGACAAGAACTCAAGCGGCAGCTGCCATAGAATGAGGTTTTTCTTCCCAGTCCTTTTTAATCTCCAAACAGAGGACTTCATTTTGTATTGGTACTGAGAGAAAAAAAAAAAAAAGCCTTTTCCTTTCTGTGGTGAAATCTTTACTGAATGCATGTGAGAAGGGTGAGTTCAGAATGATTACCCTGTAAATGCGGGCTGCAGCCCATAGCAGGGACTTCTCCGTTGGTTAAGTTGATACGATAGGAAGACCCAGGCTGGAGCTGGATGGCTCACTGGTTAAGAGCACGTTTTGCTCTTTCAAGGCACTTGGGCTTGGTTCTCAGCATCCACACGGTGGCTCACAACCATCTGTTACTCCAGATTTAATAGCCTCTGCAGCGAGTCTTTCTCTGTCCCACCAGCCAGCTCCCAAATAAGGACATGGAGACTTATTTTTTTTTTAATGAAAGTTTGGCCAATAGCTTAGGTTTGTTCCTAACTGGCTCTTATAACTTAAATTAACCCATTTATTTTAATCTACATTCTGTCGCGTGGCATTACCTCATCTCTCCACACTGCCATGCTGCTTGCTTCACAGCTGGCTGGGACGGCATCTTTATGAGACCCTGGGAAAACTGGGATAATGGTCAAGTCTTGGGGGAGCTAGCGGTATTTGTTGTTTAATCTCTGCGTGATGGGAAAGTGTAGAGCTTACCTGAAGTCTTAGCTGGATAGTCTGTGAGGCTGGACCATCTCAGCTAGCAGCTTTGAAATTGTTTTGGGTGCAGAATTTTGAGGCAACAGAGGCATTTGGGGAGCCATGCCTCTATATGCCAAGCCTCCCTGAGAGACTGCTTTCTCCAGCGCTATTTGGATATTAAAGCCTCCATGTTAGATACCAGTCCTCTTCTCTCATCCCCGGGCAGTACATGGATGTGGTGCATATACATACACAAAATAAAAATAAATAATTTTTTCTTAATGAAAGGCCCAGTTTTAGAGTTCTTGGGGTTTTGAAAGATAGTGCCAGTGCCAGAGTTTTGCTTGCTCTGTCACTTTAAGCAAGTCACTTGACCCCAAGCCTCCATTTTCTAATCTATTAAACAGAAATAAGAGCTTTGTCCTTGGAGATTAGTCTAAGATTAAATTACATTAACTGTGCAAGTCCGTCTCTAAAGCTTCTAGCACGCAGCCTGCACTGGCTATAAATGCATCCAGCAAACCCGGCATTACGAGGTGGCTGGGGTTTTTTTTGTTTTTTTTTTTTTTTTCCCCCTTTACGTTTTTGTAGGGGGTTGGGGGTGGCTCATACTGCTCTTACAGAAGACCCGAGTTCAGGTCACAGTGTCCAGGTTAGGCACCTTGCAAGGGCCTGTAACTCCAGCTCCAGAGAATTCAGTGCCCTCTTTTGGCCTCTGTGGGTATTGTTCTCATATACTCACCCCCCACACACACACATAATTTAAAATAAAATAATAGGGGCTGAAGAGATAGCCCTCCCCTGGCCTCCATTGTCATCCCTACACATGTGACACACACACACACACATCAACAACTAATAATAATAATAATAGTAATAATAATGATAATTGTTCTGTTGTTCAAGTTATTGGTTCTTTCTCTGTCCTTGATGAAGCTCGGAGCAAGTCACATTCCCTAACTGTACATTTGGGAAAGTCTCATAACTTGGTGAATCAAACTCTACTAGTAATTAATTATTTTTTTTCTTTTTCTTTTTTTTTCTTTTTTTGAGACAGTGTTTCTCTGTGTAGCTCTGACTGTCCTGGAACTCAAGAACCCAATCTGTAGACCAGGCTGACCTAGAACTCACGGAGATCCGTCTGCCTCTGCCTCCCGAGTGCCAGGATTAAAGGCGTGCACCAGCCACTGCCTGGCTCTATTAGTAATTAAAATATCCCATCTGACTATATATAAAAAGTCAATCTATTTAAAGTTACTGCTTTTCTCCCCAGAAGAGAAGCCTACTTTGACCTTGCCTCTCTCTCCGGCTTTAGTCCTTTTCAGGGCTGGTCTGTGTGTTTGGGAGCCAAAGCAGAGGCCCCACCGCAGGAGAGCCCTTGCCGAGACCGGCCGTGTTCAAAGTGCAGACCTATCAGAGCTGCTCCCCACCCTCGTTGCTATAATGCTCACTCTGCTATATATCTGGTGTCAGAATGTACATCAATCTCTTTGGCTGCTCTCATGTTCCTTCCTAACCCCTGAGCATCCCACAGCTCCTCTGCTCCTGAGTTGACCTCCTGGATCACCTCTAACCCAATGACACAGCACTGGGCAGTTTGCTCCAACAGACAGAGCACAATTAATGCATTCCACGGCCATTGTCCCTCTCTCTGCTTTTGGGCCCACGAGCCAGCTGTCTCCCTGGCCTTTGGGTTTCCCAGATGAGTCTGATCTCAGACCATCACAGCAACCCTTAAGGCCCTTGTGCCCTTGGACTCTCTACACAGCACCCAGAGCCACAGTGCCCTCCCCACCTTTGAAAACCCTGAGTGTGGAGCACAGGCCTCACGTGGAATTAATTGTCTTGGTGCCTGGGTGAATTTCTCCTTAAAAGGCTGGGATGTGGCCATTAATTATATTATTCTTATTAAGTCCCAGCATCTCTGATTGTCCTGGCCAAGGACAGGGCACCTAACTTCCTCAGCTCCTGTTTCCTCCACCATAACTTGATAGTAATGATAGCAGTGCCTGCCTCACAGGGCCTTTGTAGGTGAGGCACAAAGACAGTGTGCAAGGTGGTTACCCAGGCTCTGTCTCTGAGAAGATTGTGAGCTGCTGGCCCTAATTGTCATCCCTTATCCCAGTGTAGCAAAGCAAATGAGCCACCTCCTGGGAAGACCTGGCTTTCATGTTTGTTACCATCCCTTCTCCTATCATTATTCAAGAAAGTACACACACACACACACACACACACACACACACACAAGCAAGCAAACTGTAATCCCAGATACTTAGGAGGCCAAGGCAGAAGGATCGCAATTAAAACCAGCCTGGTCAACTTAAGGAGATTCTGACTCAAAACAAACAAACAAATGTAAAGTCCTGGTACAGCTTGGTGGTAGAATGCTGGCCTGGGATGTGAGGTACTAGGTTCAATCCTCAGCACTGTAAAACAGCAGTCAGCATATAAACAAGAAGGCAGCTGAAGCCAGCCCCAGACACAAGGTAATGGCCATTTGAGAAAGGCCCCACAACCTTCACGCAGGTCCCTCTGCACCACCACTAATTGGTTTATCTCTTTCTACTGCCCTTGGCAGCAGCCTAATTAAAGGTTTCGCTTGTGAGAGCCAGCTGTGACTGGTCGGCCAGCCATCTTTCCCAGAATCCCCAGGGCTCCCCTAAATGGTGGAGTTTCCGTGGGGAGGCAGAATCTGGGCTCCTCCAGGCTCCGTGCTGAGCGAGTGTGAGTGATGATCTGGAAGGTTGGTTGTGGTTTACACGTTTCCCTTCTGCTTCCTCTTTGCTTTTACTCAGTCAGACTTAGCTCTAAAAAGAGAAGAGACAAACAGTAATAGACCTAGGGCTGGGTGTGGTGGGACATGCTTAATACCAGCACTCAGAAGGCAGAGGCAGGCAGATCTGATATGGGAGTGTCATATATCAATCTGTTGATTTCATTGGTTAATCAACCAATGAACAATTGATTGGCCTCATAGCTTAGAACATAGGTGGGTGGAGTAAACAGAACAGAATGCTGGGGGGAAGAGGAAGTGAGCTCAGACTTGACAGCTCTGCTCTCTGGAGCAGAAATGCCTTGCTCCGCTCTCCCAGGCAGACTCCATAGCTCCTCTCAGAGACACACGAGATGAAGCTCCGACCCAGGATGGATGTAGGCTAGAATCTTCCCGGTAAGCGCACCTTGGGGTGCTTACACACATTATTAGAAATGGGCTAGTCCAGGTGCGAGAGTTAGCCGAGAAGAGGCTAGATATAATGGGCAAGCAGTGTTTAAAAGAATACAGTGTCCGTGTAACTATTTCGGGCATAAGCTAGCCATGTAGGCGGCCAGGGTGCTGAAGACGCAGCCCCGATGCTCTAATTACAACACAGATCTCTGTGAGTTCAAGGCCAGACTGGTCTATATACTGAGTTCCAGGACAGCCAGGACTACATAAAGAGACCCAGCCAAAAAAAAAAAAAAGATGGTAGACTTGCTTTCAACTTATGACAGTTTTTTACCTGGGCTTGTACTCTGTCCTGGGCCTTTTCAACCTCCTCTGTTTCCCTAGGTTATGGCAGAAGCCATACCACATGACTCAAATTGTTTGCCTTTCTGCCTTGCCCCTCACTACACTCCAAGCTCCTTGTCTCTCATGCCAGATACTGGCATAGTGCCAGGGTTTCAGAGCCCCAGGACAGTTAACTGCACCTCTGCTAGCAGCAAGGAGTCTTTTCCTTTCTAGCCTCTTACTGTGCCCAAGCTCCTGAGTCACTCAACCCAAGCACCTCCCAGACCACACCCACCACCCCTCTACCCCAAGTTCTTGAGTGAGTCCCTCCCTTCAGGCTCTTGAGTCAGGCCTCCATGCTGAAAATTTCATTCCCCAACAGCCACCTCACTAGTCTCCGTTGCCCTTTGAATGAGATGAGGGTTTTTTTTGTTTGTTTGTTTGGGTGTTTTGAGTCAGGGTTTCTCTGTGTATCTTTGGAGTCTGTCCTGGAACTAGCTCTTGTAGACTAGGCTGGCCTCAAACTCACCAGAGAACCACCTGCCTCTGCCTCCTGAGTGCTGGGATTAAAGGTGCGCACTACCACTAACTGGCTGAAATGAGGTGTTTTAGTTACTTTAACTCTCTGTGAAGGTGATGAGGGTCTTTACTTTGTTTAACTCTTTGTGAATGAGATGAGGGTCTTTACTTTGTTTAACTCTTTGTGAATGAGATGAGGGTCTTTAGTTACTTTGTTTAACTCTCTGTGAAGGAGATGAGGGTCTTTAGTTACTTTGTTTAACTCTCTTTGAATGAGATAAGGGTCTTTAGTTACTTTGTTTAACTCTCTGTGAAGGAGATAAGAATCTTCAGGTACTGTTCAGCTTCTCACTCTGAAAGTCCCACACTGAGCTATTCACCCAGCAGCCCTCTCTGAGCTTTGTCCTGGCCCTGGGCAAGGTCTGGGGAATCAATGCAGGTCCTGAGCTCAAGGGCCTCCTGTCTAGAATGAGGACAGCAGCTTGTCTAAAGACAGCTAAAGCAGTTCATGTGAGAGGTGGAGAGTGGTAACTGGAGTGGACTCATAGGAGTCACATTTGAGAGCCAGCAGGATGACTCACCCACTAAAGGAGCTTGTCACCAAACCCGATGACCTGAGTTTGATCCTAAGACTCACATGGTCAAAGGAGAAAACTGACTCCTGCAAATTTTCCTCTGACCCCCTCAGGTTCCCTGTGGTACTCATATGTATGTGCACATTAGAAAAATGTAACTTTAAAAAAAAAAAAAAAGATAAATCACATTTGAGTAGGTCAAGCAAAGAGATAGGGACTGGGTAAGCAATCTAGAGGGAGGAAGTAATATCATCAAAACCAGAGTGTGAGAGGGTATGGCTAAGCTGTTAGGATACCAGAGTGAAAGACAGTGGCCCTACTAGAGAGTTAAGCTAGACTGCCAGCCATCTGGTTGGGGAACCTGGCCTTGGTCCTTCAGATCCTTACTGGGGCCATCTACACAGGTAGAGCATCTCTAAAGTGACCCAAAGTGGGCCTCTTTTCTGTAGCATAATTTGCAAATATGATTTTATTCATGCATTTATCTTATTTATTTAGTCATACTGAAAACTGAACCCGGGGCCTCACACATACACTAGGCAAACACCGTATCACTGAGCTACATCCCCCATTTCTAAATTATGTTGATTTTTTCTTTTTCTCTCTCTCTCTCTTTCTTTTTTTTTTTTTTTTTCTGATAAAAGGTCTTGTTCCATAGCCCAGTTATCAATACACTTGTAATTACTTGCCTTGGCCTCCCAAGTGCTGGGATTGCAGATGGTCCCACCATTTATTTTGTTATTAAGAGAAACAAGATGTAGCATGCTTTGCTTTGCAAGCCTAAGAGGGCAACTGTCTGTTTGGTTTTTTCCCTCTATACATAAAGATTAATGTAGAATAATAAGAAAGTACCGGGTTTGTAGTTATCCACTTCCGAATTTGATTCCTGGTCCTGCAGTTCACTAGCTGTGTGCCCTTGAGCAAATCCATTGTCTATCTGCAGTGTGGTTTCTCAATTATTGATGAGGTAAAGTCTGTCTTACAGCATTGTCATGGAGGTCAAAGATAAATGCGTGCTTTTGTGAGGCATCTGGCTCACTCTAGACCCCAACATCCTCTCCCCTTTCCCTCTCCCATCACAGGGCACCAACCTAAGAATAGAGGATACTGGAGTGAGAACGGTTTTGTCTAATGTTCATTATTCCTTGGAAGATTAGGTATTCGGAGGCTTTGCCCAGCTGATGGCTCGGGACATGCTTGTCTCTGCTCTGTCAGCCTGGAAGAGCTCAGTGGGGGCAGCACCCAGCACTGAGGTGGTGTTAGTAGGGCTGTGGGCATGACTTTCCCAGGGACAGCTGCACAAGAGGTAAGAGGCCAGGGACAGTGCTTCCTTACCCCTTCTGTAACCACCTTTAGGTTCCTCTGTGAGGCCCTGTGGCTCTCAGGGCCCTCCATCTTAGTGCCCTATTGGACATCTTTGTCTTTGCGTTTGGTGAGGTTCACAGCCTGCCCACTGACAAGTTGTTAAAGGCCAGTTTGTGCCTTTGTGTGATTCTGAGGTGTTTCCCTGGCGTGCACTGAAGACATCAATCGGTAGGACTTGGAGTGTGCTTAAAATGGCAGCTGAATGCTGCATGCAAAGTGTGTGTCCAGCATGTGTGGGCTGAACTGGGAGCAGGTGATAGATAGCGTGGCCCTTCTCCCGTGGGGCCCATCGCTCATACTGGCTTGTATCTTCAGTTTTTTTTTTTTTTTTACTTCTTTCTGTGATGCATGTAAACTAGATCTTGAAGACACAGTTTCCCCAGAAAAGAAGAACAAATCCAAGGCAAGGACAGGCTATAAAGACACAGGCTACAGAACACGTTTCAGGCTTCTGCAGGGCAGCTTTGGAGCTTAAGTTGTGCTGTTGGGCAGACCTGATTGGGACCTCAGTGAACGTCTTGTACTTCTGACAGAGAAGGAATCTCCAGCCTGACTGGCTGCCCTGGGAGGTGAAAGAGTGGGCCTGTGAGCTGCCTGTCCTCCTGATATGGAGAGGGAGCAGGGTAGCCAATGGGCTGTGACCCCAGCTGGCAGTTGGCCCCTAAGGGCATCTGCCATGTGGAGTCACTGTCACTTGGGGTGTTATCTGAGGCAAGTGACTCAGCTTTCTGCTGTGGGTCTTTGCTGGGCTCTAGATCCCCTATAACTGGAGCTACAGATGGTTGTAGGTGCAAGGACTGAACCCAGGTCCTCTGCCAGAACAGCAAATGCCCTTAGCTATTGAACCATCTCTCTAGCCCCAAGAGGAAGCAACTTTATATTTTTTTGGCCTGAAAAATAGTTTCACATTTCTATTAGAGAACACAGCCCCCTCTATCCACACCATCTCCCACCCCTGCTTCCAGGTGGCCAGACCCTAAAAGAGATAGAACTGCACAAAGGTAAGGACACACCCAGGCCCCTACTACCTAAGGATCAGAGGCAGCCTGACTGTTGAGTACTAAACTCCACTCTCCTGCCCACACAAAGAGTGACCCCTGTACGAAGCCTAAATCATGCATGTCCTGTTCCCTGCCTTGGTCATATAGTATAGGAAAAGTATTAACTAAGCCTGCTTCTTCATGATCTAAGACTTATTCCCACAGAAGCCCTTAGCAGTAGGGCACCTTCTTTTGTCTGGTGGGGCTGAGTCACTTCAGGTCCTCCAACATACTGCCCCCTGTGCTCTAATAAAGGCCTCCTTCCTGTCTTCTGAGTCCCATCCGTATCAGGAATGAGACTTCCTAGCACTGGGGATGGCATTTAACCTCTGCATACACAAAATGATGCTCATCCATCAGGGTGAACCGGGAACTGGGGTCCCGGGACAAAAGCTACTTCTGTGTCAAACACCCAGAGCTGTTTAAAACGGCACTGGCTCCAGACAAACTGTTGCAGGCCCGAAGCCGAACTATTATGGGCTGTCCTAGCCCCTGACATAGCCCTTTGTTGACTACCTTTGTGTGTAACCTGACATCCTTGTGACAGGAACTCCAGCACCGGAGGAGCCGAGCAGCTTGCCTCAGATAGTGTGCTCCCGTGAATTCCTCCTCAGAAGACACCCCAGACAAACAGATAAGTGATGGGGGAGCTCTGAGATATCCCCTCCTGGGTGGCAGTTTTTCTTCCGCTCCTTCTTATGCCCAATCTCTGCATGACAGACTCCTTACTTCCTTCAGGGTGGAGTCGTTCTTCTGAATGACAGGGATCCTATGCCTTCCAATGCCATGGATTTCCTAACAATTTTCCTTTTGACTCCTCAGTTCCCTCCCACACTAAAACTGCTTAAAGAACCCACTGCGTTTAGCCTAGCCAAGCGAACTGCTTGTCCCCTGAATCCTGCCCGCTCTTGCTGTTTGCTTACACTTTGATGGAGAGCTCCAGCACCTGCCCAAGATGGCTTGAGGACCGTCTTCCATGAGGCCAATCTTTCCTGTCCTTTGTTAGTTGGGAGCTACTGTCCCAGAAACAGATTTAAGAAAATACCCAAAATGAAATGGATGAATTCCTAAAACAGCCACAAACAGTGATGTACGCTTCCCTGGTGGATGGTTGATCACATGTTTAACCTCTCTGTATTCAGTAAGAAGGCTCTTGGCCACAAATGGAAAACTTTATTAATCTCTATCAATCTGTCCAATCACTCAACTGGAGTAACCTTAGAAACACTTGTGACGGGGCTGGAGAGATGGCTCAGCACTTAAGAACACTGACTGCTCTTCCAGAAGGTCCTGAGTTCAATTCCCAGCAACCACATGGTGGCTCACAACCATCTGTGAAATCTGGTGCCCTCTTCTGGCCTGCAGGCATACATGCAGACAGAATACTCTATACACAATAAATAAATAAATAAATAAATAAATAAATAAAATTTAAAAGAAAAAGAAACACTCGTGACAATCTGATTTCAAAAGCATCTTTCCTGCGGGTGTGGTGCACACTTCTTTATTCCCAGCACTTGGGAGACAGAGGCAGGCGGATCACCTTTGTGAGTTCAGAGCTGACACAGAGAGTGCCGGACAGCCACGGCTACATAGAGAGACCCTGTTAGTTTCCCCGACAACCTCCTCCATATCTTGCCTAGTTACCAAAACATCCTCCAGGGAGCTGATATGGCAAAAGCTTGGTCTCTTATGCCCTGCCTCCCCTTCCTGTCATGGCGCATGTCCTCCTCCCCGTCACTCTTCTCCTTCCTCAGCTCCCTCTCTTCTCGATAAACTTTTACAGTTCATATCTTCCAGAAGTCAACAAATCCCAACTCCAGATGGTTTTACAAGTGGACAGTGCCCTCCTGATGCAGAAACACAGAAAACAGCTTCTGACCCAAAGGCCACTGTCTGGCTACCCACCCTGAGATGGGGGTCTCCAAACCCAACAGCGCCCCAGTTCAGCAGGAAGTAGCTGGACTGATTCCAACGCCCACCAATCCCTTAGGCACCCCATCCTCTCTTCTATAGAATCACCTTTCTGATTCTCTTAGATATAGACAAAAAGGCTGGAAAAGTTCGAGAACCTGAGCCTTCAAGTTATACAGGCCCCAATGGATAGGACTTCAAATAAGGCAAGAGCACACTCAGCTTGCTTGCGTTCATGCACAGACACCTGCCACCTAGAAGTCTGAGACTGACTACATCATGCTGAATGAATCCTGCATTAGCCAATCATGCATCCCCCACTCAGAGAAAGAGTGGCCTGTCATGTAACCTAAGTCTTGGATATCCCAGTTCCCCACCTTGACCATATAGTATAGTAGGTCACGTGTTTACTAAACCTGCCTCCTCATGGTATAAGGCCTCCCCCTTTCCCTGGAAACATTAAGTAGATGCTCTGTTTAAAACTCTCTGAGTACTGCCCTGTGATGTTAATAAATCTCTCACTTGGAGGATGATTCAACTCAGTGTCTCTCTCTTGAACTCCCTCGCTTCTCCCTTCTCAGACCCTCACAATTCATCTCTTCGGCTGCTGACAACACTGAGCATGTCCGTTACTTCTCTCAGAGTGAGCAGGAGGCCAAAAACTTAGCAGAAGTAGAATTGCTATGTAGAAAGAAAAACCGAGAAAAAGAAAGAAATTAAGCCATAAAAGCTTCCTTGTGCTTCATCATTTACTGATTTGAAGTCTTTGTTTTGTTTTACTTTTTGTTGTGTTTTTGAAATAGAGTCTTACTATGGTGTTCCCGCTGACCTGGGACCACTCATGCTTTTGGGTACTAGATTATGGGGCTGTGCCATTACCACAACTGCCTTTTAAAAAAAGATTTACTTTTATTTTATGTGTATCAATGTTTTGCCTGCATTCATGTATGTACGCCACGTGTATGCATGTTGGAGCCTCTGGAACCAGGATTATGGACGGTTGTAAGCCACCGTGTGGGTATTGGGAGTTTCAACAAGAAGCTCTCAGTAGGGTTTCTTTGTGTAGCACTGGCTGTCCTGAAACTAGCTCTTGTTGAGTAGGTTGACCTTGAACTCACAGAGATCCTCCAGCCTCTGCCTCCTGAGTGCTGAGATTAAAGGTGTGCACCACCACCACTGGCCACCTGGCTTTTTAAAGTGTTTGTGATTAATTTGAATTTAGCTTTCTACCCAACCTTTTTTTATTTTTGTGTCCTACCTAGGAAATATTTGCCTTCTCTGAGGTCACAAAGATTTTCTTCTATTTTGTTTGTTTGTTTAGTTGTTTGTTTGTTTGTTTGTTTGTTTTTTCTTAGAGATTTATGATTCTGAGGTTTGTTTTGTTTTGTTTTTTGACGTATAGTCCATTTCTAATTCATTGCTGTGTACAACAGGAGCGAGTGAGCTGCCGAGATTTGTTTTCCTTTCATTTGGACATCCAGCTTTCCCAACATTGTTTGCTGAGAACTTTTCTCTCTGAATTGCCTTAGAGCTTCTGTCCAGAGCAAACCTGTAAGCCACATCTGTAAGCCAGAGGTTTCACAGAAATGCTTACCAAACTACTCGGAACAAAGGAAGGGCCCCAGGGGTGTCGTTGGCCGCTTTCCTGATGAGAGTGGTCTCACATGGCTGAGAGTTACCAATCGTTTAGCAATCAGTCCACCCAGGCCCTGAGACTCTGCCAGCTCCATAGGACAATGCAGGTCAGCTTCAGCACACTGCAGTCTGCAAAGACCCACGTCTGCGCTCTCCTTCCCCGTCCCCATTCATACGCCCATGAGGCTGCCTCATGTGGGCAACACATTTGTCTGCCATAGCCGTCTAAGGTTTGAAATCAGGTGTCATAAATCCTCAAAATTGTTTTTGTCAATTTCTTTTCATATTATATATAATACACACACACTCATTAAAATCAGCTTGCCATTTTCTACAAGGAACTCTGCTAGGATATTGATAATGGTCACTTTAATTTATAGACCAATCTCTAGGTAATCATCTTACCAATATTGAATCTATTTATAACAGCTCTTTTGTTTCCCTCTGCAATTGTTACTGTTGTGTATTACAAGCACAGCATGTGAGAATTCTGGCTGTTGCACGTCGTGTGATTTCCAGGAACCTTCTTGGAACCTTTCATTCTTCTAGCAGCTTCTTGTTAGATCCCTGAGGAATTGAACTCATTTCCAGTTTCCATTTTCAGTTACCTATCCTCACGGGCTGTGCCTGCTGCGAGCGTGGGCCTTCTTTGTTTGAGACCACTTACCAGGTGCACAGGAACTGCAAGCTGCAAGCAGCCGGCGACCAGACGTCCATGGCAGCGATTGCGGCAAGCCACTTCCTTACTTCCTTAATGAGGGCTCCTGGCACCTTGACACCCGCCATTCCAGCTGTTACGCATGCCAGATCCTTCCATGCATGAGAGAGAGAGAGAAAGAGAGAGAGAGAGAGAGAGAGAGAGAGAGAGAGAGAGAGAGAGAGAGAAGGAATCCTTTCCTTGTGTAGAGTACTACTAAATCATTCTACTCAAACGGCTTACCGAGTTTGTTAGATGTTAGGGGATAAGAGAAATAAATCCTCAGTGATCAGAGCACTGGCATTCCCTGGCCACACCTCCCTTCTGCCGCTCACACAAAAGCCCTGAGAGATGCATGCCAGCATGCTCCCAGGCTCAGGTCCGAAAACTCCCCTCTGACCCAGCCGTTTCTGCAGGAATCAATCTTCCTTTCCCTCTAAAGAACAAAGGCTTTCCAAGCTGCTCCAACCCTGGCCCAGGGTCGTCCTCTTCCTTTAAATCTACAAATCCTGCTTCCTGAACCACCTCCTGACGATAGCTTGGCAGCTGACAGTGTCTCTCTGCTGCCTGTGCCAGGGTTCATGACCGAGCTGCTTCCTTTCGAGAAGGACATGTTCATTTAGCAAATGCAGACAAGACTTCTGAACAGAGCCTTGCTATGTTTCCATGGCAACATAAATTACTTATGAAAATCTGTAGGAAGATTTGGGACCATTACCAGTTAAGTACGGTCTCCTTTCTGAATAAAGCACTGGGAAATGTTGAAAACTTTATTGTGCAGAGGCTAGGGGACAAAATTTGATTTCCCGAGGATTTGGGTACAGAATAAATAAATCTGAGGCCTGTGGGGGAGAGAAACAAAAGTTTTACATGATGTAATTGGCAGCAGTCCATTATTCCAAGTCCCCACCATGGTGAGGAACACGCAGCTTTCCATCACAGCAGGAGAACTTGTTTCTTATACAATCCTGTTTCATTGTTACTCTAATTGTCAGTTCTGTTTAAACTGGAAACAAAACAGTGGTTTCTATCCTATTCCGTCACAGACCACACTCCCCCCCCCCCCCCCCCCCCCCCCCCCCCCCCCCCCCCCCCCCCCCCCCCCCCCCCCCCCCCCCCCCCCCCCCGTGCCCCAGCCGCTGCCCCACCCCACCCCTTTTGGGACCCCGCTCTTCAGTGGCAGGGCTCTCACAGCTGTCTGTAGTCTGCCTCTCTGTAATTGCTCCTTCAGTCTCTGCCCTTGAGTCAGTACAGCCGATGTGCTTAGAGGGACAGGGCTTTACTAAGAGAACGCACGTCTGTGTAGAGTGGGCTCAGCATCGGAGGCTCAGTTCATCAGCTGGTCGCTGAAGGCTGCTTTGTGCAGTCTGACTGGAAACTTGCTCAGCAGTAAGCCTGCTCCCGAAGCAGAGGTCAGAAATGTAACAATGACTGAATACATATCTGATTGTGACTGTTTTCATTTCCCCATCTGATAGGAATGCTGGGGAGGCAGAAGCTGATCTCAAGCCTGGAACACAAAGCACCGGAAATAATTTTTCTTAAATAAACAACTTTAATGAAAACCAAATGTATTTATTATCTAATTATCCACCACAGGCTTTCTGATTCTGACAGGAACCGGCCTGCATTGAGCCAGGCTTCACAAATGGCCAGAGGACTAGAGTTGAGAGGACTATGCCTCCTCCCCTTTTCCATCTCTTTCTTTCTCACTAGTAGCCTCAGCTGTCCTTGAACTCACTACAGAGACTAGGTTGGCCCTGAACGCGAGGATCCGCCCACCTCTGCCTCCATTGTGCTGTTTAAAGGCACCATTACACCGAGCCTATGGATTTCTTTCTGAAGATCCCCTCTCTGTTCTGGCTCAGGCTCAGTAGTAGTGTCTGTGTGTTTAGCTTGGCTTGCAGGTAACAACTTTCCCGTGACAACCTGTGTGGTTGTCTACAGCTGTTCAGTCCCAGACTACAGGACTGAGGAAGACTTAACCTGTGACGTGTACCAAGCCAGTCAGCAGCAGGGAGGGGCATCAGGACTCCAATGTTGTGATCCATTGGTCCAGGGAAAGGCTGTGCTGAGGGCAGGTGGGGGGCATAAGTCTAGACAGGAGGTGAAGGCAGACTTCTGTATGTGTCTGAAAACCAGATCAAACCCAGAAGCCACACTTTAGTGGCTGATCTGAATGTACCTAGCAGCCGCCCAAAGCCCAGGAAACTTGCCCCCAAGTTGGCAAACTGTCTCTGTGATTAGAGTTGGGGGCCTGGCCTGACCTCTTCTCAGTAAGTCTTCCCAGCACAAAGAGCCTCATTAGAAGAGAAGTCTAAAGAGAGCTCAGTAGCGGTCGCAGGAAATGGAGTTTAGGCTTAGAGCTACAGCTGGGTCTGATACGGGATGCTCTCTTAAAAGCTCATCCGATGTACCAAGGATGTTAAAGATTGGGGGTGACCTAGCTTCTCTCAAAGGGCCACTTCCCAAGCTTGATACAAGAGACTCCCCAGCCACGGGATCTGTGAGGAAACACAGAATGCTTCCAGGACACTCTTGGAGGGACAAAGAAACAGTGCTTAGGGGCTATGCTCGTGTCTCTGAGACCTGGTTCTGGAAGCTTCATGGCTGAGGAGGCTGGATCTTACCACGTCGATAGCAGGAGATCCAGGCCTGTATCCTAGGTCTGTGTAGCAGGCAGGGCTCTGTCTGAAGGGGAGGAGTCTCTAGAATCTTCCACACTACCCTGGACCAACAGCACTGACCTGCATGGAGCGCCATGCTGACGTGGGAGTCAGGTCATGGGGACCCGGGTGAAACTAAGGCAGGTGGCGAGGGAGGAGACAGAGACCCCCAAAGACCCTTGACTCCCAGGGGCTGGGGTGCCACTGAAGGAACAGGAAGCTCCCAACTGTCATTCCTTATCTTCCTCTCCTCGTTTCCCCATCTACACAAGGACACAACCACCCATACGCCAGACTCCTGGCATCTCCCGGTCTCCTCCCACAACCCATGTTCATTTGTGCCCCTGACCCAGGGTCCCTTCTCTGTCCCTGCGCCCGCCTCTCTCTGGATCAGTCTCTATATTCCTTTCTGGTTTGCCGCTGTCTCCTGCCGGGCCGTCAGTAGCCATTTCTCTCCACTGTCTCTTACCCACACCTCTGCCTCAGTTCTTTTCCAGAAATCTGGCTATATTGTTGGCTTGAAACTCCAGGCAAAGTCATGTTACAGAGAAGAGCTTCAGCCTAGCATGGCCAGCAGGCTCTCCATGATTGTTATAGTAGAAATACCTGGGTGAGCCGTGCAATCTTCCTGGAGCTGCTCCCTGCTCCCTCCTCTCCCTCCCATCCTCCTGATGGAGTTGATGGCCAGCTCCATCCCTCTCTGACTCTGGTCCAGATACCAAATGCTTCCAGGCTGGAGCAGGAGCTCCACCATGCTCCTACTCCCTCCTCTTTCAGGGCTCCGTCTTGCCCTGTAGTAACCTCAAATTCCTCTGCCTAACGCACTTAAGTTCCTTCAGCATCTGTTTTTACTCGTCTGAGTTCCGCAGTGTTCGGTATCTCCCCAGGCACTGGGCAAAAGAATCTGAGTGAATGAACAATTGTGGGTGGGAAATGGCGGGAAGACCAGAGAACCTCGGTGCGGCAATGCTGAGCCTGAGGAGCCTACGAGATGTCCGGATGAAGGCCCAGGCTGCACCAGAACAGTGGGCCTGGAGCTCTGACAGGGGTCTCCCAGAGACAGTGGTCTCTCCACAGAGGAGCCGATTATCTAGAGAAATTCAGAGAGCAGATGGAAAGTGGCTCCAGTAATGAACAGGGGAGGTCGGAGCTCGTCAGGACCTAGTCTAGCCAGATACTCTCGTCTTACAAACGAGAAAACAAAGGCCCAAGGCAGGAGGGCTGATCAGCAGGTATAGGTGAAGCTAAATGGGCGCACAGGGCTTCATGTACAGCTCTGTGTGTGGTCCCCTGGCCTCCAGCACACTGGGCTTCACCGTACAGCGCTGTGCTCAGTCCCCTGGCCTCCAGCGCACTGGGCTCCATCATACAGTGCTGTGCATGGTCCCCTGGCCTCCATGTTTGCAGTTCTCATCTCTGAGACCTAAGAAAAGGAATCACAGAGGGTGAGAGAGGCCTTGGAACAACACAGCTCCACAACCGTCCACACTAAACCCTTCTTCCAAGCACAGCTGTCTATAACACCCGCCCCCTCCAAGGGACAACAGACTAAGGCCTCTTGAACCCAGAGCTGCTGCCCAGATGCTCCTGCCCTCAAAGTGGAGGATTGTTTGAGCCTTCAGCACCTACAGTTTTGAACTTGGTGGGCCACCTACTTTCCATCCTTATGGCAGATTAGAAAGAGCCAAGTAGCCAGGCTGAATGGGTGCAGGTCTGTCGCCTCAGCTACTGAGGCGGCAGGGGCAGGATAGTTCACAGCCAGCTTGAGCAACAGTAAATTCAAATCTTGGGCAATATAATGAGATAAAATTAAGAAGAGGGCTGGGAATATAGTTGAGCTAGAGAGCGCCTGCCTGCCTAGCACACGGGAGTCCTTAGGTTCAGTACCAGAACCACAAAAACAACAAAGTCAGATGAGAGGAAACCATGTGATTGCGAGAGTAGAAACACTCATGGGGGGAGGTGGACGTGTCACACAAGGGACAGAATAATAGCCATTTGCACCCATATGGTGGCCATCCTAACCACACACAGCCAGCACAAGTCCTGGCTATTCTCCGAATGATGTGGGGGACATGCTCTACACTAAGACACGTCGCTGAGATTCCAGTCCAAAGTGACCAGGTTGCTGCTGGTCTGGCACCATAAGAGGCAAGCATGGGAGGGGTCACCCTGAAGGGTCTGGACAGTAAAGGTTCCTCACCGTGAGAAGTGGGGAGAGAAGGGCTGGAGGCTCCTGCCTCTCATACCCTCATACTCTCATACTCAGGCCCTGGGCTGATCTCCACCACCACACAGCAAGCATCAAGGGGGCCTTGGTATTTGCTGCAAGGCTGCAGGGCACCGGTCTCCACCGAGTCCGAAGCTCTTTAGCCTCGCATATGAGGCATCCCATGCTCACTGAGCTCCCAAAGCGTGAACAGGGCAGGGTGTCTCAGCCCTCTTTAGAGACTGGGCTGGGCATATAAGACCTGAAGGTGCGAATAACTGTCCTGGGTCCCCAGAGTCTAGGCCTGGGAAGGACCCTGAGCTCTCCCTCTGAGATCCATACCTGGGACAGTCCTGAGAGAAGGAAATCTGTTGGTCCTCATGACAACAGTGGTACCACCTCCTGGCCCTACTTCAGCGAGAGCCGCAAGAGTGGATCAGGAGCCAGATTCCTGTGTGGCCGGGGCGGGGACATCTCCCTGCCCTGTGATGTTTCTCATCACTGATGCTTTCTTTGACTCACAGGAATGAATTCAGAGCATGGACAGACATCAAGCCTGTGAAGCCAATTAAAGCCAAGCCCCAGTACAAACCCCCAGATGACAAGATGGTTCACGAGACCAGCTACAGCGCCCAGTTCAAAGGGGAGGCCAGTAAGCCCACTGCTGCTGATAACAAGGCCATGGAACGCAGAAGAATACGAAGCCTCTACAGCGAGCCTTTCAAGGAATCCCCGAAGGTGAGACAGCTCTTACTGAACAGCCGAGAGGAAGCGGAATAGGGGGAGGGAAGCTCCAGCTAGCCCCCTTCCCCGAGCTCCTGATGAATCATGCCTTTCTTCCTCAGCACATGGCCCAGGGCCGTCTTCAACAGGTACCTCAGTTAAGTTCAAAGGGCACATTAGAAAGGAGCATTACATAAAAGTAGCTTAACAATTGGCTCAGCGGATTCTGTATTTGAGAAACGCAGGATAAAAACAGCAGAAAAATCTCACCTGGGTGCCAAATCCCCTTGTTCTAAAGGAGCCCTGCTCTAGCCTCTGAGCAGCTGGTCCAGGGTTGCAGCTCCTTACCTGGCCTGTTTTGCAGCTGGCGTTGGCCCTGCAGCTCCTTCTCCACCCTGCTCCAACCCTGGAAAGGTCCTCCCCTCCCAGTCTCTGAAACACATCCTTCCATCATCCTTCCTCCATCAGCGCCGCCCGACAGAGTGCCGAGTGTGTCACAACACACTGAGTGCAAGAGATGTTCCTGGTTATTCATCACTGAAGTAGCGGTTTCTGAATGAGGATTTGGGGTTTGTTTGTTTTTATGCTAACACTGCTCTACCTAACTTCATCTCAGTATGAGTTCGATAACAGGAGAAGCGTGTCGGGCAGAGCTAGCATGGTAGGCTCACAGGCCCACTCCTGTAAGTCAGGCCAGATGGGGAACATGGCTGGCGACCATAACTCCAGAGCCTAACTGGCCTTTCTCCAACTTTGTCTTCAAGTCTAGCACTCAGCTGGTGTTTCCATTGTGCCAGGACCAGCTTGTAGCCAAGGTGACAACAGACAGACCCAGTTTGTCTGGGATGTGTCTACTTTGAGCACTGAATGTTTCGTGGTCCTGGAATACCCTGCCCCAATCCAAGCAAATCAGTTAGTGAATGGCCCAGCCTGGGAAACCCATCAATAGCTCTGTCCATCCACAGACGAAATGGGCTCCAGGATATAGGTTGGCGTTGAAGGAGAGAAGATTCCTAGTGAGTGAGGAGAGGTTATTGGGGAAATTAGGGGTGGTCAGCAAGGTTTAACATACTGACCCAGCAAACCCAGTTACTCCAGAGTTCTCTGAGAAAGAAAAGGCAAGACTATGTCTTCAGAATGAGAGGGAAGATCCACAGAAGGGGCCTGGAGGCTGGAGTGACTGCCCTGGGGAAGCTGGCAAGATCCAACCAGAGATAAGCACATGGCTGGTAGTGCCTGTTGCCTGGCTGGCACTCAGTTGTTCCGATGCACTCAGCACCCCCGGGATCAACTGTGGTTCATCTCTATGAAAGCATACCTGCCCCCTTCAGTCTGGGCCCACATGACCGCGTATCCCTCTCCTTGAGATGCGCAGTGTCTTGCACACTGACTACAGCACCGCATGCCCGGGCCTGAGGCGAGGGAGTGAGGCACAGCCTTCCAATGAGGAGGGACAATAGATTCTGTAACTGCTATCTAGCCCACCACCTGGCCTGCTCCGGGGGAGAATGACAGGGCAGGGAGCGTGAGATGGTGACGGCGTTGCTACAGGATGCCTACAGATTCAGACGACAGAAACCAGGTGCCCAGACGTGGTGGAAACCCTGCCCTCACTCTGCCTGTCACTATCGTTATTCTGTTGCTAACGCTTCCATGTCTTTCTCTAAACCCCTCTTCCGCTCCCTCCTCTTTGTGTTTCTATACGTGTGTTTTGTCTGTCTGTCTCCCCATGCAGGTAGAGAAACCTAGTGTTCAGAGTTCCAAACCAAAAAAGACCTCAACGAGCCATAAGCCCCTGAGGAAGGCCAAAGACAAGCAGGCGGTATCAGGCCAAGCCGCCAAGAAAAAGACGGCAGAGGGCCCCAGTGCCACCAAGCCCGACGACAAGGAGCAGAGCAAAGAGATGAACAATAAACTGGCTGAGGCGAAAGAGTAAATGTCCCTGCACTTTCCTCCCCCTCCCCTAGACCTCTTATCTAAACCAACAAACAAAAAAAGGCCACAAAATTAATTAGAGACTTCCCATCTGCCTTGGTTCTGAGTGTCACAGGAGCCCTGCAGCTGGTTTTTTTTTTTTTTTTTTTTTTTTTTTTTTTGTTGTTTTCTGGGAGGAATCACGTTTCACAGACTGAGGCCACTGCCTCTCCCTATGGGTGGCACAGCATCCAGCCAAGGGTCCCCAGGACACCAGGAAGCATTGTGCACTGGCTATGAACTCCCTGTGGGTCTGGGTTGGGCCAGGCCTCAACTGCTGCCAAGTGCGGCTCCTGGCGGAGCTGGAAGTGCCCGTGCAAGGCATCCTCCCCCTGTGCCTCCCACAGTTCGGATTTCGGACTTTAGGCAAATGTTGCTTCTCAAGTTCGTTAGATGCTTACGTGTTACCCAAGTCCAGCTTGGGCTTCGACAGTTAGAATTTGTGAGCATGTTCAAGACAAAGGAAGAACAAACCAACCTTGGCCTTATTGTCAATGAAATAGAATTCTGTCTGTTATCTAGAAGTAACCCTCTCCCAGAACCCTCAGTTAGGCGTGTGTGCCTGTGTTTTGTGCCTATTGGTGGGCTTTGAATAGTGTATCAAGTAATAGGCCACTGGCTGGGGCTGGCCAGAAGGGGCAGAGGGTGAGTGTTTGGGATGCTGTAGATGTTGTAGAGGACGCTCCCAGCCGTGGGAGCCCACGTTCCCTGTTTGCCCTCAGCATGCTGCCAGTGTTGCAGAGAATAGTCAGGTGTGCAGGCGGCACATAGCATACTTGTTGTGATTTTCCGTTCCTAAGGCATGCAGGTGGGGTGTGTAGACACCGCAGCAAATACAGTGATGCCCCCTCCCGCCCCAAGCTCTTGCTCTGCCTTCCAGAGAGGCCAGCGCGCTGAGCATCCAGCCAGAGTCTGGGTGGTGAGCCCTGCTAAGGGCTTAGCAAGCATCTATGCCTTTGGAAGCTTAGAATCAGCTCTCATGTACTTTGTATTGCTGCATTGCCTGTGTGTGACTGTAGCCCCCTAGAGTTGTGTTGTAGGAATTAGGGAGTGGTTATGAAAGAAAACCACCCTCCTTACTTATGAGGGAACACCAGAGCTGCTCTGGTGGCCTATAGATTGCTCCTGTCCTGGAAGTCCGTATTTGCTCAGCATTCTGAGTAGCTGGGATGGTGCACCACAGCTTGCTTTCTCTTGTGGTAAAAGTGATTCAGAGGGAAGGTCTCATGGCTGTCTCCCTCAGAAGTCCCTTCAGGTCCTTGTAGTTTGGGAGGGCAGAGCTCCCGAGCTCCGGCTCAGTTTTGCTCTGCTGACAGTGAAGGTTTCCTTTGCACCTTTTGGGGCTGGTTGAGACACGTTTGTAAATTAACTCACCAGCGCTGTGCAAACCTTCGTTATTCAACAGAACAGACTAGGAAGAAGCCTATGGCATCAGCTGACATCGTCTTTTCCGTCTCAGGGCGTGGACTGAGGGAGGCTAGAGAAGGGAGGAGACATTGAGGAGTCTCGTTGCCACGACTCACAGGTCTTGATGCCTGTCCAGAAATACCTAAAGCTCTGTACTGTTTCTGGCTACGTCTTAGCCAACCTTACTGTTTACTGAGAACTCTATGAAGTGCTTCAACTGTAGCCGCCAGCGCACGCTGCTCTCAAACCCTGGCAGCAGCAACATCTGCTGCTAGCCACACTTTGATTTCCCTATAGAATAGCTGTGTGTTTTGTAGATCGAGTAAGTCAGAGTTTACAATGCACAGGGGATTCTCCGTTCACCGTTCATGTTCTACCTTGTGTTGGGTACTGTGCCAGGCTTGGTTGGCACACGGGTCTCTATAGCGACACTTCCAGGTGCATGGCTGTCTCTCATGTGCTTTGAGTTGAGTTGGTGATGTGCACACTGTAGTTTGTCGTAGCTGACCACAAGGACCCCAGAGCCTTAGGGGCTGAATTTCTTACCCTGCCCTGCCCGAGGCTTTAGATGACCTGGATAGTGTCCCCTTCTTTTTCACACACACACACACCCACAAAAATTGTTTGCAGTCACTTTGACACTTGAATGTTTCACTCCACTGACAAGAGACTCCCTTTGATTTCTACTGTTTACAAATCAAACTCAGCCGGCCTTGCTCTGTCTCCCACACGCGCCGGTCAACACTGACTTGTGGTTCCTCGAGCAGTGTTTGGCGTTGCCTCTCTGCAGGTGACCACGTCCGTCCCTCATTCTGTACATTTCCCTACTGTTCCCTGCTCATCCCGGGCAAGAGGGCTGGCACAGAGACTTTTTTTCGAGGCCCGCCTGCGAAACTCCCCCAAGCTGTGCCCAGGTTTACCTTCTCCAGCCCCAGCTCCTGGACATCCAGCTGGGTCACTGAGGCAGAGAGGAAGTGTCTATGATTTTGTGGCCCAGGCTTTGTTGCATACCACAGATTGTCTATGTACCACGTAGTGCACACCTCTCTTGGTGCTATTTCATTCCTGCTGTTAGTTAAAGAATGACAAAAAAAAATTCATGTATAGCCAATTGATTGTGGCGTCTTGTGGTCTGTGCTTGCTCAGAAAGCAAACCAACAGGTTTTTTTTCCAGTCATAAATAAATGCTAAAGACGAACACCACCTTCTCGATCGCATTTCCTTGGTGAGGCCCCGCTGAGTAGGTAAAGGTAAACACCTTTGGCGTCTGAGCCTCTTTGTGCAAGATGAGCTGTGCCCTGCAGGTTTCCCGGGGTCTCCATAATGCAGCTTGCCTCTTTTAGATTCCCTCTCAGATACTAATTGCAAGCAGTCAGAGCTAAATGTTGGGAAAGGCGAAGATGGACCCGGAGGTGCCCTGGCCAACAAGGTAGTGTAACGATTTCATGCCTTGTTCCCGGAACAGTGACCACCTGCGCCACTCACTGCCTCCCGGGGGTGAGAAGCTGCCGTCTAACTCTTCCCTTCCTGTGGCCAGGGGATGGCAGAGACGCCTTTGCTTGCCCGTTTAATTCACAGTCATGTCACAGGTTGCACCCAGAGCTTGGCTCACTGTGTCGTGCATGTGCCTGACATGGGGATTAAAAAAACAGCCACAAGAGTGGCTAAGGCAAGGGCCCAGGGAGCAGGGGACTTAGACGCTTAAGTGGAGAACGGGTTTTCCTGTGGGGCTGGGAAATAGCAGGAAGTTTCCTGTCAGGGGGCTCTAAGGAGGGTGCCAGGATATAGGTACTCTGGGCACCTGGGGCAGGTGTCAAGGCAAGGGCATAGATTCAGGGAGGGGAAGGAGTGGGGTCGGTGGAGAACCACATTAGCTCACTTTGTTGTCCTTCTGGTAAAGCAGGAGACAAAGGCTTTGCTCTCATGATCCCTCCAACATGTGTCGAGTGAATACTGTTGTGTGCCAGGCTCAATGCTGGGCTAGGGGAGCCAGGAGACTGAGACCAGCCCTCTGATCACAGTGGGCATGAAGGAGGAGTCTGTTCTAGCTGGTTCCATGGATGAGAAAGGACTCTGCAGATGGGTAGGTGCTGATCAGGTGAACAGAAGGGAACACCCCCAAGGCATGCCAAACAGAGGGGATGTGCCCAGGCGAAGGTGTGGAGGGGCGGGGTGCAAAGGCCAGAGGGTGCAGAGTTCTGTGGTAGAAAGGGTGGCTACTAACCGGGGGCTCCATTCCACGTGCCCAGGTTGCACCCATGCCCTGCATGCGTCTGCCATCATGCTTTGTGCCTCACCATGCCACAGCCACAGGTCCTTCCTCGTTCTATTTAGGAGCCCCGGGGTGGTCCTGCTTCTGTGCTTGGGAATGCAGTGTCAAAATCAATCTGTGTATTAATATTTTAAATCACTATTTATTTCTTTTCAAGATGGGTGGAAAACATTCCACCCATCGTCAATTTTATATGAGGCAGGATACACAGAAACTGCTCAGTAAATAAAGACGGAAATATGTGTCAGTTATCTCTCCCCCCAGTTAAGGGAGACTACATAGGACTGGGAGATGGAACAGGGAAGGGCAGAGGTGCAAATGGAGGCAAAGGAGAGAAAGGGAGAATTACACCTGTGGCTCCTGCTGCTGCCCAGGGCTCAGCACATGAATCTACACGTCAGTGACATGTCTACACGTCAGTGACTTATCTACACATCAGTGACGTATCTACACGTCAGTGACGTGTCTACACGCCAGTGACATGTCTACATGTCAGTGACTTATCTACACGTCAGTGACATGTCTACACGTCAGTGACTTATCTACACGTTAGTGACGTATCTACATATCAGTGACATCAGTGACATGTCTACATGTCAGTGACTTATCTACACGTCAGTGACGTATCTACATATCAGTGACATCAGTGACATGTCTGCATGTCAGTGACTTATCTACACGTCAGTGACGTATCTGCACGTTGCTGACGTATCTACACGTCAGTGACATGTCTACACATCAGTTACGTATCTATGCGTCAGTACATATCTATCTACACGTCTTACTCATATCACTCTCTAAGACAACCAACAGCTAAACCACACATGCAGTTTTAGAACAGGCCACCATTGCCGAATTAGTTAGAAATGTGTTTCAATTCTTGCTTCAAGTACATATACATTTAGTGCAGTTGCAGTCAGCATCGGTCCCAGATCACAAAGGCCGTGGACCCCAGCAGCACCTCGTGGTGGTTTCAAGGGCACTCCAAAAACAACTGCTTTGAAAGAATTCCAGCTACTGGATTCTTTGGAGTCTGTGGACCGAATAGCATCCAAACGTTTTCTACTTCAGACAAAGCCTTCTTCCTATGAGTGCCACGAGGCAGATAACAACAGAAGAGGCAGGAAGCTCCTAGGGGAAGGCCCTGGCCAGGTTGGCCCAGCCTGAAAAACAGGAAGCTTAGGGCTTGCTGGGGTGAATCAGGTTCCCAACAAGTGGGACCCTTAAGGAAGATTACACCTAAAGCACTGGAAACTGCACTGTGGCTGGGCCATCGCAA